CCGGAAATTGAACATCCGGAAAAAAGAGCACCTTTCTGCGGTCCGCCTTGGACCGACTGACTTTTCCGGGATTGCCCAACATTTGAACATTGAAGGGCATCCTTACAGTCAGACCAGTTTGATTCTTATAGACAAAGACCACTCTAAATCAGGTCTCCTGATAAAGGAGTCCGTGCATATACTGGCAATGATAAACCAGATATGCAATGAATAGATATCTTCTCTGGTTATTTGCGATAGCTGGGGAACGACTGCAAAACCGGTGCGATAAAACGTCTTTACCCAACAATAATCCGATTATTTTAATGAAAACTTCGTACCATTCCTTAGTCAACATTCTGGCCAATCAGTTAAATCACTTGTTAATTGTGAAGTATTGTATATCCGCCGTTGCCGGTCCCAAGCCCGGTTGAGAAAGGAGGAGGATTGGAGACCGTGGCAAAGTTTCCGTGAAATTTAGCCACCTCCCACTCATGGTATTGATGCCATGGAAAATTATACCGGCTCGGTCCTCACCCGGGTTACCAACGGCCGTACAGGATGTGCAGAAACTGAGGCAGACTACGAAAAGTCGGTCATCAGAACCTGCTCATCGCCCTCTGCCAGTCAGGGACATAGCAGCACAACAACAGCTGACGAAGACCGACGGAACGACGACAAAGATACCAATAACCAACGAAGACATTACTCGTTCTGAACGCAGGAGACAGGCATCGCGATGCCATTATAGCACGTCAGAATAGACTCCCCGCGAACGACAGGGCCAGTGAGAGCTTACAGTCGGAAATTGGAATATATCCTCATTTAGAGGGAAAGAGCAAGAGTTGGTTGACGAGGCCATAAAGTACCAACTCGACATTGTTGGCCTCTCGTCAACAAAGCGACAATGTTCTGGAATCCACAGCCTCTGCAGGTGGAAGTTATTCTAGGTGTCGATATACGACGCGCGCACAGGCAGGTGTTGATGTTCCGGCAGAACCCAACCTCGCTGATAGAATCATTGATTGGAAGCCTGTCTGCGGAACTGTCGCGATCCTTCGATCAAAGCTACAACAAGCTAAAACTTTGACTTTGTTAGAGGTCTATGCGCCCAATTTAGAGGGAGAATATGATTCCTTCTGTGAAGGATTACAGTATGCTCTGAATGAACTGCCGAATACGGAATTCCTCATACTCATGGGCCATTTTAATGCGCATGTCGGCGTAGACGCCGAAAGTGGAGCTTCGAGATTGGAAAAAACGGCCCTAGCGATCTCAGCAGTAACGGCATAAAGGTATTGCGGATTTGTGCAAACAATGCACTATCTCTTATGAACACGTTCTTCGAGCATCGAACAGTGCATCAGTATACCTCATGCAGGGAAGCTTGAGCACAGAAATCAAGGATCGATTTGATCATAGTACCGTCTGAATTACGACGCTGTTTAATGGGTATTCGCGTTGAGACGCGCAGACCTGTGAACCAATCACTACCTTGTTGTTGGTACCTTACGCTGTAAGAAATGGAGTACCATACAAAGGTCTTGTGACAGAAGCAACCAGAGTCAGATTGGAGACATTACCTTCAGTGAATGCCACAGCGAAACTTCCAAACAATAATCACGACGGCATGAACAGATCTCGGTGATGATCACAGATGTGGAAACCGACTGGAAGCTCTTTCAACGCGGTTACTCATGGCTGCCGCCGGATCTTGCGGCTTACAACGAGTTGACCTGCCC